ATAGGCATGAGCCACCGCACCCAGACAGATTTTCATTATAATCCTTGAAGTATTATTTGACTCTTTATGTACAGGTATCCCTTTGATAAATATAAACATTAAATTTAAAATAAACATAATAGTAAAAAGTAGTAGTAAAGGAACTCTGAATATAGGATGTATTTAATGAATAAAGTACAAAAACTGAAAGGTCTAGAAGTAGTTTCTTATTAGCAAAAGTCAGAGAATTTTTTAGAAATAATTATGGAACTCATTAAATAACATCTACTTACAAAACATTCCTATCTATATAGCAATGCCTTACTAAGCATTAAGTTATTTGAGGTGCCAAGAAAGATATGAAAAAGATAATATAATTGTAAAAGGTATGACAATGTAAATATGGTATACTGAAATGTTTTAACATGAAACCCCATTAAGCTGTATACATTTCCCATTTCAATCAATCAGGACGTACTTTTTGTGCCAACAAGCTACCATATTCAGTAGAAGACATAAAAGAAATATAATATATATTTCCTTTTAAAATAGGTTTATTTATGTGTACATATAACTTATTTTAGGTTTTTACTCACTTGGCTATTTATATATTTTTAGATTTAAGAAAACATCTTCATAATATTTACAATAAAATGGCTTTCAAAAATCTCTTCATGATTACAAAAATTGGCAGTAACATGGAAGATTAACCAGAAAACCAACAAAACCAATAGTAAGGGGACACCTAAAATGGTTAAGGTAAGAGATGAAGGCCTGAGCTGAGATAGTGTGGTGGAGAAAAAAAGGAAACAGATATAAAGATGGCTAAAATAAGCCAGGCATGGTGATGCCCGCCTTGGTACCAGCTACTCCAGAGCCTGAGGTGGGAGGATTAACTTGAGCCCAGGAATTTGAGACCAGCCTGGACAACACAGTGAGATCCTGTCTCAAATAAAAATAATAAAATGAAATAAAAGTGGCAAAAGAATGAGAACTTTTGGAGACTGAAAGCAAGGGAGAAAGCTGGATTAGTGCCAGGTTTCCACCATGAGTGGCTGGGGTAGATGGTGGCGCCACTGACCATGACAGGCAATACAAAGAGGAGCAGGATTAAGGGAAAACATGAGTTCACGTTTGGACTGTTTGAAGTACCTTGAGAACATCCTGGGAGAGATATCCAAAAGGCAGTTGAATATAATAATCTGGAATGCAGGAGAGAAGTCTGAGATAGATAAAGATTTTGGAATTGGCAACACACAGCCGTTAATGGATGAGATCACCTAGGAAGAGAATACATTTAGAAGAGGACAAGAGTCTGCCATCAGATAACTGAAGATCACAATTCATGTTCCTAAAACCACCCAGGATAAAACTTTGCCCATTTATATGGACTTCGGTAGAAAAATATCCAACATATAATGTTAAATTAAAGAAAATCAAATCACAAAACTTTATGCATTGTGCAAACCTATTTTTACAAATAAGTTGTAAAAAAATTAACAAAGGCACAGTAAAAAAATATATGAAGGAACAAACATTAATGATGTTAGTAATACTATAAATGTAGGAACGGGATTACATAAACCTTTCAGAGCTACATGATATGTCTTCATACTATTTTACTTTTTTTAAATAAGCATGTACTCAGCCAGTGTACTCAGGTGACTCACGCCTGTAATCCCAGCACTTTGGGAGGCTGAGCCAGGCAGATCATGAGCTGAAGAGAGATCGAGACCATCTGGCCAACATGGTGAAACCCCGTCTCTACTAAAAATAAAACAACAACAACAACAAAAATTAGCTGGGCGTGGTGGTGCGCGCCTGTAGTCCCAGCTGCCTGGGAGGCTAAGGCAGGAGAATCGGTTGAATCCCAGGAGGCAGAGGTTGCAGTGAGCTGAGATTGTGCCACCGCACTCCAGCCTGGCGAGAGAGGGTGACTCCATCTCAAAAAAAAAAAAAAAAGGCATGTGCTCTTGCAAACAGAGAAAACATAATTTTGTTCTTTTCCTTAAAAAAACGTACAGCACGTTTCCTAAGGCCGGGCACAGTGGCTCATACCTGTAATCCCAGCACTTTGGGATGCTGAGGCAGGCGGATCACGAGGTCAGAAGATTGAGACCATCCTGGCCAACACAGTGAAACTCCGTCTCTACTAAAAATACAAAAATTAGCTGGGTGTGGTGGCGCGTGGCCGTAGTCCCAGCTACTCAGGAGGCTGAGGCAGGAGAATGGCCTGAACCCAGGAGGCAGAGGTTGCAGAGAGCCTAGATCGCGCCACTGCACTCCAGCCTGGGCAACATAACGAGACTCCACCTCAAAAAAAAAAAAAAAAAAAAAAAGTACAGCACGTTTCCTTACAATATATTTGAGAAGATAAAAATGTGTTAGAAAAACACTTGGACACTGGACTATAAATGGACAAATAACATCAACAGACAACCAGTAAGATTATGAAAAATATTCAGTGCACTAGCAAAGTAATGAGAATTAGAACATATACCATTTATTGTCTGCTGAATTAAAACAATTTTTAAAATAATAAAAGTACTCAATGTTGGTAAGCGTGTGCGTGTGTGTGTGTGTGTGTTTTTTGTTTTTGTTTTTTAAGCATGACAGACACTGCTGACAGGAAATAAACCGGTACTATCTCCCAGGAAAACAATGTGACAATATGTACCAATAGCCTGAAAAAGATTCCTAATATTTGATCTAACAATTATCTTTTTCGAAATTTTAGAAAAGAATCCATGTGTTACAGCTCTTTTAGAATATATCCAGCAGTTCTCTGGTTTTTACTGGACTTCCTCCAGCACCCCCTAAAAAGAAAATAATTCAAAACAACTAAAAATATGCAAAGATATTTCACCAAATCATTAATTGAAACAATCAAATCACCAACATTAGTGCACAACAGAAAATTATACAGGCATCAAAAGTAATGTGTTCAACAAACTTAAGAAAAAAAAAAGGCAAAACTCTATGACCTAGCAATTCTACTTACAGAAAAACACTAGCACGCATACACCAGAAAACATCACAAAGAACGTTCACTGTTGTAGTGGTTGCAATAGTGTACAATTTTAAACAACCTAACAGCCCATCAATCCAAAAACGGTTAAATTAGCTTTCTCAAACTGTGGTCTCAGGACCCCTGGATGTCCCCAGGAGCCTTTCAGCAGGCTTGTAAAATCTTCCCTTTTCCTACTACATATCTGTGCAAGACTGGTGTTTTCTTCATATGCTTCAACCTAAACCAGATAGCACAACAGACGCAAATATGAAAATCCAGCTGTCTTCCATAAATCAGATATTAAAGTAATTTGAAAAATTTAAAACAATGCCACGCTCCTCTTCTGTTTTGTTTTAGAAAATAGTTACTTTTCACTCAAAAATTATTTGAGTCTGTTATTTTTAAATGAATAAATAAAACATCTTCAGTTTTCTGAGTTTTAATTTCCAAAATGGCAAATATACTGCAGCACTAGGAACCAAAAACTCTATTGGTCCTCAATAATTTTTAAGCGTAATTATCCTCAATCATAATGTTAAATGAACTGTAGCACTATTCTATCATGTAACATTATGATTGGGGATAATTAATGGGAATTTGCTTTATCTGTAATATAACTGTTTCAAAAGATACTTTGCTCATGTATAATCAAGAAGTCATTTTTATGAAGCTTTTTAAAAACATGGGGAAATGCTTACAACGTAATTTAAATCAAGGAAAGTAGACAATCCAACGACATAAAATCTCAAGAAAATGCACAGAGAAAAAAAGACTCAAAGGAAAAAAGTCAAAACATTAAAAGTGATTACTGTAACATGGTGGAATTATGGTTGATCATTTTTGCTTATTCTTTATTCTATTTTTTCAATTTTTGCCACTAAGCATGCAGTTTAATATCCAGGGGAGGAAAAAAGGGAAGAAATTAGGCGGAAAATTACATATAGTTCTACTGGATTAAACCATTAAACTCCTGCCAACTCAAGAGACGACAAGCTCAAGTGAATAAACGGAGGAATCTGACTGAATCAACAAAGTGCCTATTTTTTGAATTGAAAAGATTCACTTAATATCAAATGTATGGACCAGCCAAACTAACAAGAAAGAACATTCTTAGTCTGGAACATAACATCTGCAATCACGGTAGTACAAATAAGAGTTAAAAATAAGGTCCTCTTTTGGACTTTCTCAAAATACCAAAGGAAAGGCAGCGGGAAAGACGGCCACTGCACCCTTCTGTTCTCTAACGAAGAGAAAATGCATGGGTGCGGGAATGGGCAGTGCGAGAGCACCGGCAGCGATGAGACTCCTCTGCGGGGACCGAGCCTCTGCCACTCCTAAAGAACCACAGTCCCCTCTGCACTCGCAGCCCCTCCCCAGGCGGGACGGCGGCGCCAGGGCGCTTCTCCCTCCACTCGCTGGGGTCTCTACCCCAGGAGCGCCGGCCACTCCGGCGGCTCGGGAGGGTGGAACCGGGCAAACAGCCGCCGTGATTGACCTCTCGGTCCAGTCCGGTCTGGCCTTTCAGGCTCCAGGAAGGGACATCAGATTGGAGGGCCAGGGTTCCCCGGCCAGCTCCGGGGGCTCGGAAAAGGAATCGGTCGGGGCCCAGGCTCTGTCCGCAGAGGAAGAGGGCCAGACCCAGCGCCCAGGTCGGCGGGTCCAGCGGTCACCCCGCCCCCTCTGTGGGAACAGCAGGGCTGAGGGGAGGCCGAGACGACCGGTCACGGGGGGCTCTTACCTCCCCTACAGCCCCGGCGGAGCTTTTTGGGAACTCGACACGACGTCACGCTGAGGAGTGAAGAGCGACCCCGGCCGGGAGTCCTGGGAGTGCCAGCCGCCGGCTCAGGGTTTCTTTCCCCGCCCCCCCGGGCAGCGCAGAGAGCGCAGGCGCAGAGGAGGCTTTCCCCTTCGGCTCACACGCCTCCTACCTCGGCGTCCCCGGCTGTCTCCAGGTCCGGGGCGCCTGCGCACTACGATGCAGGTTCCGAGCAGGGGGCGCTAGACTTCTTACCGGAAGTGCCTGAGTGGGTTCTAGGGTGACGGGGAAGCCTGATGATTCGGCCTTAAATCGGTTTTCCACTCGATTGCGGATCGGGAGGCCTCTCGCGTCAGTGTCTGACTTCCTTTACCCTTCGCTAACCTAGAGGCAGCTTCTCCGGCCCCAGCCGTAGCCCTCCGCTGAGCCTGCGCGACGTTCCGGTTTCTACTGGACAGACCTGCCTTCCTGGTAGCTGGCTGGGCCTGCTCTCCGCGCTGCTGGCCCCTCGGAAAACCTAACTTTCTGTTTACTTCAAACTGATTTTACAACAGACTGCCCCCCCGCCCACTTCCCCCGCTTCCCCTTCTTCCTCCCGGCAGCAATAAAAATGCTCCCAGCCAACCCCGAGCTCCAAGCCACTCCAGCTGACTGGACATCCCTTTCCTTCCCTTCGCTGCGTTAGTTCTGAATGTTTTGTTTCGTTTTTTAAAAGCGGCTACTAGAACAGCTGTCTCCCTGTCTAAAAGCAAAAGCTGACTGCTCTGATGGAGAAATAAAATGTCACTCACTTGATGTATATTTGCTTGTTGAGCTTTGCTATTTTTACCACAAGTTTCCAATAAATTTAAATGAGAGACCGGGCGCGGTGGCTCACGCCTGTAATCCCAGCACTTTGGGAGGTGGAGGCGGGAGGATCGCTAGAAGTCAGAAGTTCCAGACGGGCTTGGGCAACATAGCAAGACCCTGTCAATACTAAAAATGAAAATTAAAAAATTAGCCGGGCGTGTTGGCACGTTCCTGTAGTCCCAGCTACTGGCTCAGAGTTTGAAGTGGGAGGATCACTGAAGCCGAGGAAGTCAAGGCTGCAGTGAGCTCCGGTGGCAACACTGCATCCCAGCCTGAGCGACAGAATCAGACCTAAAAAAAAATAAAAATAAAAACAAGGGAAGAGACATACATATGGGATCCGATAGAGACAGATACAGGGAAAAAGCAGTTCCTCAAAGGTTTAACAGCCCACAGTTCATACTGATCTTTCAAAAATTGCAAGAATTGGCCGGGCGCTCACGCCTGTCTGTAACCCCAGCACTTTGGGAGGCCGAGGCAAGCGAATTACCTGAGGTCAGGAGTTCGAGACCAAACTGGCCAACATGGTGAAACCCTGTCTCTACTAAAAATACAAAAATTAGCTGGGTGTGGTGGCCGGCACCTGTAATCCCAGCTACTCGGGAGGCTGAGGCAGGAGAATCGCTTGAACCCAGGAGGCGGAGGTCGCAGTGAGCCAAAATCGGGCCACTGCACTCCAGCCTGGGCGACAGAGCAAGACTCACTCTCAAAAAAGAAAAAAAGAATTGCAAGAATTATAATTTTTCGAGTATTCCAGCCACATGTGATTTGTGATGAAAGATTTGAGAATCAGGGTTCACATCTTAAATCTGCAGTTTACAGCTATAGTTCCCGATCTTTGAAAGATATTGAATCTCTAACCTTTGTTTTCCTAAACAACAAAATGAAATAGCAAAACTTTTGATTGCCTAAACTAATGTATGTATTGAGCATCTGCTTTGTGACAGTGTGTTAGATGCTTTGCTTACATTATGTCATTTAATCCTAAGAATAATTCTACAAAGTACAGTATGCCTTTTTCCTACTATGTGTTAGGCATTCTTCACAGATAAAATAAAATGGGGCCACTGTCTATGGGGAACCACAGTCTAGTAGCAGAGACTCATATACACAAATGCATATTGGGGACAGAAGTATTTATATAGTAAAGTAAGAGGACAAAGAGAATAGAAAAAAGACACGAACACCTTAAATAGATCAATGGGGAAAGTATATACAATGATCAGTTCACAAAATATGAAATTTAAATGCCTACTACACATTTTACCAATCAATGTTCAAAGTCATTAATAATAAACAGAGACAAAAGAGAGGTTATTTCCCAGGCATCTAATTACCCGATCTGTTTAAAATGTGAATAAACTCCATGGGTGACAGAAGAGTAAAGCGGACACTTACACCCTGGGAGGGATATAAATTAGGACAAAGATTTTGGAAAGTTATTTGTCAAATCATGTCAAGAACTTTATGGGTGTTCATGTGACCTAATTTCATCATTTCTCTTTTGGAAATTATAAGGAGATAGTCCAGAACATGAAGATCTCTATGGAAAGATACTTAACCATGGTAAATAAATTGATAAAAGTAAAAAATCCAACATTAAGAGAATGGTTAAAATAATTACTGCATATATGTGATTAAAACTATTAAAATTATGTTTACAACGAATTTTTAATGACCTGAGGAAGTTACCTCATGAAAAAACATTTTAAATATTTAAAAATATTTAACATTGCCTATGTAGTATGAGGTCAGCTACAGTATACAATATATGTAAAAGAGTGAAGAAAGCCTATCAAAATGTTGACAGTAGTCATGTCTATCTGATTATAATATAGATGTTATTGTCCTGGACAGTCTACATTTTCTACAATGTCTATATATTACCTTTATATTCTGGAGGAAAAAGAAAAAAAACCTCTAATGTAACAGGTGTGATAATTTGCCTAGGAAACATAAGAATCCATTTCCCCTGTCATTACAAGTATGGTCTTTAGAGTCTGATTACCTGAATTTGAATTCTAATTCTATAACCTACTAGCTGTGTAACCTAAATTTCCTAAGCTTAGATGCTCCTATAGTCAAATGCTAATAGAACTAATACATTGATTGAGATAATCCATATAAAGTACTTAAGCACTGACTGTAAATGAATAACTGATAACTGTTATTCTTTTTTTTTTTTTTTTAGACAGGATCTTACTGTATCACTCAGGCTGAAACACAGTGGTTGGATCATGGCTCACTGCAGCCCCAACTCCTAGGGCCCAAGTGATCCTCCTATCTCAGCCTCTGGAGTAGCTGGGACCACAGGTGTGCATCACCACGCCCAGATAATTTTTATTTTTATTTTTTTAGAGACGAGGTTTCACCATGTTGCCCAGACTGGTCTCAAGCTTCAGGGTCAAGGCAATCCTCCCAATTAGAATTCAAATTCAGGTAATCAGTCAGCCAACCTCCCAAAGTGCTGGGATTACAGACATTAGCCACTGTGCCAGCCTAACGATTGTTATTCTTGATGGTTATCTTTCTTTTTATAAATTGATCAGTTACATTCATGTTGTTATATCAGTATCCTATGAATTTGACTAATGCATGTATAAGTTCCCTGGAGCACAATTACTTCCAAATACATTTTAAAACTGAATTTCTTAGTCTACTAAACTGAGAATAAGATACAGGGACTTGATGACCACTCCACATGTTTGTCACTATATAAAGGCTTGTTTGCTTTGTTTTTGTTTCTGTTTTTGTTTTTTAAAGAAAAGTAATAGGTTTGTTCATATAAAATTTATAGCCTTTGATTACCTTTTAATGCCAAATGTCTAATAAAAATTTAATCTGCTAACAAAGCAATTGCAATACTTTTAGTAGATGTTTAGAAGTATAATAACCTTTCCTAATTATGCCTTGGAAGAGTATTTAATTTGGGTTCCACAAAACTTCTGATCTATAAAGTAGCAAAAATAGATGAAATCAGCCAACTAACCAAAGTTTAAATCAATGACTACTACTTTAGCCCAATAGTTCTCTGTGGAGGTAAGGGTGATTTTTGCCTCCCAGAGGACGTTTGACAATGTCTGGAGGCATTTTCGGTTGTCACAAGTGAAATAATGCTACCGATATTTAATAGATATAGGTCAGTGATGCTGCTAAATATCTTGCAATTCATAGGACAACCCCCAACAACAAAGAAGTCTTCAGCCTAAAATATCAACAGTGCCAAGGTTGAGAAACCCTGATTTAGCCAGTGAGTTTAAAGCTAGTATATTTCTTCCAATTCCTAGTAAACAGTTCCTTTTTTTTTTTTTTTCTGATGACCACAGCAGCACAAATGTGAGTTCAGAAGAACTGGGTTTTGAACTTCTACATAAGGCCCTACACTAGTGAAAATTAAACTTTGTACCAAGCAGTACACAAAGTTAACTAGACTAGAGAGAAAAAATCTACAATGACCAGCTTTATTGAGCAGACATCTGGTCAGTTGTACTCTGGCACAGAAAAATGATCCTTTCCTATTGTTCAGTTCTACCAGACACACGTATCATCACTTATTACTAAGAACCACTTTATAAATAGCTGTCATTTATTGATCACCTACTATTTTCAGCCTTTATCTAATAAGTAAACCAGATGTTCCTGCAGTATGAACATTGTTGCTCATCCATAAACAAAACCTGAAGTTCAGGAATTCTCCCCGCTGTTATAACTACTTTGTTAAGTACAGCAACACTTGCTGGTTAAGGCCTTTATCAAAACAGCAAACTGAAGAATACACTATCAACAGCCCATTCTACTTTTGTACATAGTGCTATAATAGAGTATTGGTTCTTGTGAGAGATACTTTTCAATTCTCTAAGGAAAGTTTTAGTTGTAGTGCTCAGACAATCACTGTACATCCTTGTATATAATACAGCAACTGTATTTACTTAAAGTTATAAAGTCGAAAAGCTCCAATAATCAATATTTTTTCTGAGTTCTTTAGAAATATATGACAAACAATAAATTAATGATATAGCAATGATTTGTTGATAAACATTATAAATCTTATGAACTTTCTATGTCAACAGTAAAAAAGAGGAATAACTGGTGTTTAATTCAACAAATACTTATTCATTTTTTGTTTTGTTGTTTTGTTTGGTACAGGCTTTCACTCCCATTGCCCAGACTCGAGTGCAATGGCTCGATCTCGGCTCACTCGCCTCAACCTCTGTGGCTCAAGTGTTTCTCCTGCCTTAGTCTCCCAAATACCTGGGACTATAGGCGCACGCTACTGCACCTGGCTAACTTTTGTATTTTTTGTAGAGGCAGGGTTTCGCCATGTTGCCCGTGGCTGATCTGGAACTCCTGGGCTCAAGCCATCCACCAACCTTGGCCTCCTAAAGTGCTGGGATTACAAGAGTGAGCCACCGAGCCCAGACAGTTTATTAAACATAATTGCATTGTTTTTCCTACTGATCACGCAGTCATTGCAAGATCTTGCTGTGCTTTTGAATTGACAAAGAAAATAGAGATAAAGTTACATGAATTTTTAGAATTAAATTGCGTTTTATTATATTAAGGTGATTTCCTTAACCATTATAATAAATGAAAGCTTATTCAATTAAACTGGTCTAACCCTTCTCTACACATATATTCAATAAGCAAAAAGAAATGGTCAGTATGGTGTGAACCTTAAATTACTTTTAAAACCAATTGTTATTTTATAATATATTGATTATATTATTTTGTTAACAGATTCAACAATTGTAGCTATGTTAGCTAGTGACTTCATGTTATTTTGTAACATGTAGCTATGTTACTTTGGAGATGCATGTTACTTTATAACACTAAATACAAGAAATGTGGCTTAGTTTTTGGCGTTGGGACTGAGTAATAAGGAAAATCAACAAGCT